CATCTCCTGCCGCCATTTTGGGCCGTCCCCTCCAGGAGCGGCGCAGGGCGCTCTGGGAATTGTAGTTTCCATCCCTTTGGGGGGTGCTATGGGATTTGTAGTTCGGAGGAAAGGGCCAATCGGAGCGGGCGGGGCGGGGCTCGAGGGGCCACGCGGGGCGGCCGTTGCCGTTACCCGACGGGGCGGCCGCTCGCTCTCCCAGCTGTTGTGGGCGGCTGGGGCTGGGCCGGCGCTCCGGGGTGGACGGGCGGCTCTGTCAGAGCCCTGCGACGGTGGCAGCGCTGCCGTGAGGTACCGGTGGTCTCATTTTCTTGAGGTCAGAAGGTGCCTTCTGCATCCGGCGTTCTTCAGAGCGCAGCCCTCCGGGAAGCGGGTGTAATGCTCGGGGTACCAAGCGCTGCCGTTTTCTCCTCTCCTGATGCGAAGGAGCCGACGTCGGCCGAGTTGCCGTGTCTGTGGAAACACCCTGACGCTGCACAAGGTTATTGAGCAGCACACTCGATGAGGCCTTTCTTCTAAATATGTTCAAGGCTTGTTTTCTTTAAACTTAATTTGGCTTATGCTTCTGCAAGGCGAGTTGATTTATGTGGCGAGTGCTATGCTTTGCTAAATGAGAAGCGGTGAATGGATTTTCACTGAACTTCCGAGAGGTCTCCAGGGAAGGGGGAGTTACGGAGCCATAGCCGTAACTCTACATTATAATACATATATGTATTGAGATAAGCACACACTGAATTGGCTGTGTGACAACCTGCCTGCTTGGCGCTTGCCACAAATGGCCGAGCCTCCGGCCCACAGCTCGCATTTGCATTGCTTGGGCAGTGTGCGTAACGGTGTTCTCTGTTCATAAATTCTACAGCTGTGAAAGAACAAGACAGAATGAGCTAGCCAGGCAAAAAAAAAACAATAATATATATAAACTTACATATATAATGCATATAAAGAGCAAATAAACTTCTTCAGAAGTGCTGGTATGAAAAATGTTGAAATACTAGTGAAGGGAAAAGAAGTCAAGAGCTGTCATTGTTCCACCTTGCTTTCCTGTTTGTGGTAAATGCCCATGTACAACTTTGAAGTGCCAGAAATACATAAAATAAACTGAACAGTGGCAACTCACAGCACAAAATGGAGAGATTAGGGGATGGGAATAGATGCAAACATTTCCCCAGCTCTCTTGATTGCTTTTGTGATTCGGGCAGGGAGCCTGAAAGTGCACAGAGAGGGGTGAAAATGGTGATGGACTTAGTGTCCTTTAAGGTTGAGCAGCATCAAAATGTCATGTCATGATGGTAATTCCTGAGCTCCTCAGTTTCCATCTGGTCTGAGTGACCTCTCTGATCTGTAGTCCCAGGCAACCTTCTCTCTTGGTGAACCTCCTTTGTTTTAAGGAAAAGGATGCTAATATATCCAAGAGCTCAGACTTCAAAAGGGCAGCAGAGCTGACTGTAAAATGGAACTCATGACTGCATTTCTGAGCAGACCCCCCTCACGCTTGCTGGTTGGGAAGCCTGGCTGGGTGTGCTTGCAGTGGAAATGCTGACGTACCTCAGCATCTGTCACTGGATTCCAAGTGTGCTATTTCCTCTGCTCCCAGAACAATGAGGAAAGTGAGGGGAAATCTGAACAAACTCTCTGCGTGACAGAGAGGAGAGGAAACCTGAAACAATTCACTGGGCAGCAGTGGAAATGAAACTGCTGCATCCCACTGTGCTCAGAGGCAATGATTTTAAAATAAAAAGAAAACAACAAACAAACAAAAAATCAACAAGAACCACCCAGTGTAGATTCTAGTTATGACAGTATGTTTCAAAAATTACAACGGTCTGAGCCATGAGCTTGCTATATATCAGTGCTAAAGGTTAAGCCTGGCCAGCACTTAGACATGAACCTTTGTAAGGGTCACTGGGATGCCTCAGGAAATGGAATCAGGGATGTGAATGAGAAGTCACTGCCTGTGATTCTTTGTTGAACTCATTGCACATATAATATGGTAGGTGCTGTTTTGGTGAAAAACAGGGTGAAGCAATTATATTCTGGTGAAAACCCAGTTTGAGTAATTCCCTTTTATCAGTAGATATATTTGAATGAAAGTTCCCTTCTGTCCTAAACTGCTGGTGGGAGCACTTGTGTGGTAAAATAAGTACCACTTCTAAATGGTGATTCCATTTTTGTGCTTTTTTGGCACAGAACACTGCAGATTATACTGGATTTAAAAATTTTCACTTCAGGGCTTTTAGACTTTGCTTTTGATCAATTATGTTCCTAGCCCTACTGCATGTTACAAGCTCAGTCTTCCTTAGGGGGAACCGGGTGAGAGCATTGGCAGCAAATGAATTTTAGTGCAGGTATAAATGCTGACTATTTCATAAGAGATGCATAATAAACCAAGATGGGCAGTGTGTACAGTAGGTCACAGTTAATTGTAACTGGTCCTGTCTACCCACTGGGATGCCCAGAGAGAGGTTATTGGGATATCCAGACTCCCTGACTGTACTTGGGCTCCTTTGTCATGGACGCCTTTTATTATGCTTTCAAAACATACTATGGGATTCTGTGTTAAAATGTGGTTTGCATTTCTGCTTCACTGTTGAATCATTCTTTCCTGCAGCAGTTTCAATAAAAGGGGAGTAAAAATGGCATCAGGAGGCCAGGCTTCATAACTGCAAGCCCCAGCTAAACATCAAATCACACACGTACCCTTCTCCGCCTGCTGCTTACCTACCAAAGGAAGGGTTCCACCAGCACATCTACTACTTTGAAGGGTAAATAATGCAACTACTAGCAAAAAAGCTGCTTATCAAAGACAATTCCCACAAATGTTGCATGTGACTACGGAACTCTTATGACCAGGACTGGGACCCCAGAGAGTTGTAAAGGTTCTATGATCCCTTCAGGTTAAGTTAAGGTGGAACAACAACAGATGACTGGTTAAAATGTTTTACTTGTCATAGAAACAACTTAAACTTGAAAAAGGCTAGTAAGCAATGAGGTCTCTTAGTGACAAATGTATCAGAAAGAAAAGAAAGGAAAGAATATGAAAGGAGAGGAAAAGAGTCCGGTCACTACCCCAGGCTCCAGTGTTGTCTCAGGTCTGTAAATCTTGGGTGGTGGGTGCACACAAAGCAAAGTTTTCTGTTGCCTTTTAAGTTCACCGTTATCAGCTGATTAGCATACTAGACCAAGAGAGGCAGGCATTCCACAAACTCATTTCCATGAGAGATGAGGAAAAAGTGGAGCATGGGTTCTGCACATGCACTGACAGGGAATGGGGTGTACCAACCCTTTTGTCCAATTGAGTCAGCGGTCGTGCATGCCCCCCTCACCCACCCACCCTTTATTTTTTCCTCATTTTTTGCTGAGGTCCATCTGCTGCTGGTTATTTATATCTCTTAGCAGTCTTTTGACCTGAACATATGGTTTCACTCAGTCCACATTTCCCTCCTTTGAGTCTTATATAAGGAGTTTGGCAATACAACGGCAAGTGAATGAAGCCATGCATCCTTTGATACACTCCACGCTTCCTTGGGTGGCGTTCCTGAGACTGATCACAAGGGCCACAGCTTGTCAAAGTTTTCTATGTCATTGAATGTTTGAGGCATTAATTCCTTCAATTCCTTACAGGGAGTCACAATATTAGAACTAAGCCAATACTAATACTGAAGTAGGTGCACCCCTGTCTCAGCCCAGGTCACTTCTGCTGCTTTTTTAGTACCAGTTCTGGTGCTCATCTGACCCAGCAGTGAGCTGTTTCAGGGAGCAAAATGAGTAACAAATTAATCTTACCCCCAAATATGGTAGGTTTCTGCCAGCACAGCTTCCAAGGCTGGCTCTCCAGGGTATCACATGAAATCCAGTGCTGACTGCATGGGAGGAGACAGAACAGCATGCCCGGAGGCTGGTAAGGAGGATCTGACCACCTCCTGCCCTGCCTGCTGGCTGCTAGATCAAGTGTAGCTGAGGTGTGAGGCTGCAGACTTAGATTCACAGGACCACCGGACTTAGAAGGTGTCCAAGAGCACTGGATGGGTTTTGGGGCAAACTAAGTCACACAGCTCCTCTATCTTGTGTAGGTCTTCCTCTGTCTTGTGTACAGATTTTCCAGCCTGCAAGCCCCACTCTCTGCCTGAGCCTCCCTTTGCATTCCTGGCAAACCTGGAGAGGGGAGTGGCTGGGACCTGGCCAGGAGAGTGTGGTACCTTGGGCTCAGTTACACTCGCACAACAGCACTGTGCAACAACCCAAATCCTGTCTTCGAGTGAAAGGTTAGTCTAGGGAAAAAACAGAACAGAAACAGGATTTTTTGCCTGTGTGGCTAAGACTGGAACCAAAACTATCTGACTTGTCCTCAGCTGCTGAAGCAGTGGCTGTGATTGCAGTGCAGGACTGTGGTGAGCAGAACAAACCAGCCTTTGTGAAGCTCTGAGCTATCAAATTCAGATCCTTTTGCCAGTCAGATTAGTCTGTTCAGAGCTGTTGTTCCTATGTTGTTCCCTGTGTGTGAACACATGGACAAAGCTGCATTGCCAGAAAACTGGGGAGAAGATAGAAGTATATGTTACATATTTAATCTGTAATGATAAAACCAGCCATTTCAGAAGCATGGAAAAGTTGTAACTGATCTGGTGGACTTAGCTGGAGATATGCTGGAGCACTAGGAAAAAAATCACATTGTGTCTGCCTTTGCATAGTGTGGAGTTTACACTCCAAAAACAGATGCTCAGACATATGCACCTCAGTGTTTGCATGTCAGAGACCAACATCCACAGCGTACATGGGCACACCAGGATATGCACTTACACAGACATAAGCGCTACACTCTTACACAAATGCCAGCTGTGTGGTATGGAGCTGATGACCTCTTCATTCTCACCTTCTGAACACGTCCAAGTGCTCATATGGATTCCCTGGCACCAGTGCCCGAAGCACGAAATCGAGCAGGGTGAGCCAAGGGGCAGGAATGTGATCACATGCAGGTGTGCAGAGAGACACTGACACAAAAGTGCTTCATATTCATTTAATCGAACTAGCAGTGTACTTGTTCATTTCTGGCAAACAGGCCTGGGCATTACAAGCATCTGCGTCACACTCTGAGGGACCAAAGCTTTTGTTCTTCTTATGTGTAAAAACAAATGTTGTCATGAGAGGAAGAGACAAAAAGGATGAGGATTCAAGCTTTGTGAGATGAAATGTTGCCCTTCCTAAGAGTTTGCTCAGTGTTACAGAATTAGAGTGGGTTTTTCTGATTGTTTTGATTCATGTATTTGTAGGGAATTTTCCCGTATCCACTGGGGCATACTTATGGAGGTGGAATTATCTCTACATTAACTCATCTAGTTGTCTCAAGCTAGTTTCTGGGGTCTCTTCCTTGTACCTCTTCCAGGTACAGACGCGATCCCCATCATCACGGTACTTGAGCATTTTTCAATATTTGTCCAAGAAACATCCTTGTGAGGTAAGGTAGTGCTACTATCACCATTTGTAGACAGAGAACTGAGGCACTGAGGGGTCAAAAGTCATGAAGGACGTATTTAGCAGAACAGTCACTTGAAACTTGAAACAGGGTCCCAATCCATCCTCCTGCTCTGCCACTGAATCATCCAACTCCTCTGCACCCCTCCTGAGTATTAGTACCAGTATATATTTTGTTAACATGAAGCCTTCCCTGGGAAGCATTGCTAGGAGTATGTGTAGCTCTCCATGAGTGCTGCCTCCTCCCTCACAGACAAACTGCTGTGGGTCTCACAGGCTGCTCAACTGCATGGAGAGTGGCATCTCCACCCCTCAGATGTGCTCCCATCACAGCTGGGCTCCAGCTCAGACCAATAATAACACCAACCTACGCTTCCCTCCATGCTGCAAGAAATATAACTGCTTTCTTCCACCAGTGCCCTGAGGCAGGCTCTGGGCCCAGGGTCATTGACCTGTCCTTCTCCCTGTTTTCGTTCCTAAGATCTGTCACTGGTTGACCCTGTTTCACCTGTCTTATAACTACTAGCACTCAAGCCATGTTTTTCTTTTCCTAGAGGGACTTGCCCTCCCTCACAGCCAAAGAACAGGTAACTTGCTCTCACATTCCACAGACTTGCTTTGCCTCTAAGAACAGCTGCTTTCCTTTGGAGTAGAGGCCTCCTTTATAAAAGAAAAAACCTATATATCTTTAAATACAATATCAAAACATTAAAATAACCCTATGTAAATAAATAGAACACAAATATCACAGTTCTGAGCCTGGAGAGGTTTCTTTAAAAGGGATAACAATTTCTGCCTCTGCTATTTCACCCTGGGATGATGATCCATCCATACAGTCTGTCATATCTGGACCTGCTTCCTTCAATAGCCTTTCCAGATGTACCTTGGTAATGGGACTGTACTCTTCTGGAAATTGGCAGCTGCTGGCTTTTTGAGATCACTCCATCCCTTTTAGCACTCATAGATTTGTAAGTTATTTACAAACCAGGTTCAGTCAGAACCAGGACTACAGGGATTTCATCAGCCTCTTGACCCAGTTCTTTTTGCTGCCTTGGGGAAACATGGCTGGGGAAACATGGGTCTGAGGAATGACTGCCTACTGCTGCCTTCAGGCTCTGGGATCAGCTTCTGTGTACACAATAGTCCACGTGTCTATCGTAACCTCCAACGTGCATCAGTTGTTGGGAAGTGTGTATGTGTGTGGAAGTTTTAGCTTCCTATCAGGAAGGAGTTTGTGTTCAGATATAGATAAAACACGACAGATGTGCACAGCTGTGTGGATTAGCACCACCAATATTATGATAGCAACAGTGCTAACGGTGACAATTAATAACATAATATCTCCAAGCTTGGTTTTAATTATGGGGCAAATGGTGTTTCAGCTGGATGGTCTCAGGATCTCAGCAGTGGTTTTTGCACTCAGGTTGAGTCTTCTGTGTGGGGAAAGCTCTGTCCTGGACTCAAGAAGTTCACAGACTTCATCCATCGCTCTGGTGCAGGTCTCGAGGTTGGCAGCCAGCTTCTGGATCTTGGCCTTCAGAACAGCCTGGCTCACTTTTGTGACCTCCTTTGTGTATTCTGGCACGAGGAAGCTGTGGGAGCTGCAGAAGACCATGAAGCAGATGGAGTTGTACAGTGAGATGGAGGCCCTCTTCTCCGACTGGCGCAGTGTGGGGTCCCCCGGGCCCTGGCCCCGGCGAAGGAACTCCAGGCAGCTGAGGATTTCCCTCATCTGTTTCCTACAAGTCATTGCGATTTCCTGCACCTTCTTCACCTCCTGGGAATTGCAAAGCACTAAAGAGAGATCGGAGGTGATGCTGACGGCCCCCCCAGCAGTGGCCAGACCCAGACCCACAGCCGATGCCAGGAGAGAGGCTCCCAGCGTCGCTGGGCTCAGGGACAGCCCCACAATGGCTGTGACTGCTCCCGCAGCGGTCAGGGTGCTCCCGCTGACATTGGCAATCAGGGACCTTTTGCGGAGCTTGTTGAGTTTACGAGCCACCTTGTGAAGGTGAGCAATTTGGCCACGCAGCCTCCGTCTCTGATCCAGCAGTGCTATGTGGAAGTGTTGTGTAGGGTCTGGTGTTTGGGGAAAGGCAGCATCATTTCTCTCCATGACCTCTGTCCAGAAACAGAAAAGGCTGGGTTAGGATTTATGTTAAAAAACCCTCCGTGAGACATGCTCAGCCTGGACCACCATTTCAGGGGTGGCATCCAGCCAATTTTTTTTTTGCTTCAGCCAGCTACTTGAAAGGTTTGCTGTCTGCACACACATACACACTCACGTACACACACACACATCCATGCACATACACACATGTACTTTTAATTACCATGTTCCCCTGTAACTTTCAGACAGATGAACTTTTAAAGGTTTTTCTTGTTCCCTGAGAAGACTAAAATATCTGGAAGGCTGGGGTCAGAGGTGCTGTTGTTATTACCTCTGTGAAGACACAGACCACCTCTTCCAACCCTGGGGACAGAAATTCCCTTGAGACTAAGTGACTCAGTGCCAAGAGTAGTAATGCTGCCAGAAGTAATGTGTTCTCCTCATGATGGGATTCAGAGGATCTGCTATATTGAAGTGCATCTTTCACAAGAAAAATCAGGCTCTGAGGAGATGAAAGCCACCCATCCCCGGTTGCTATTTAGGGGACATTTGCCACTAAAGGAGGACAGATGAAAACTGTTGAGGGGAGTCAAGGTCTGGGTTTTCCGTCTAAGAGGTGAGAAGCTCACTGATGCCTCAGACGGGTATTGTGAACATCATTCCTTTCTTTAAGCCTGAGCAATTCAAGGTCCTGCAGTATTTTTTTTTCCTATTGTAACCTGGTGTCAGGGTCTGGACAAAGGTGAGAACCACTGTTCTGTGGTAGTTAGCCCAACCTGTGGTGGTGGATCCCCAGTGACAGTGGCAGGGAGGCCTATGGACTTTGTTTAAAAGGTTCATGCAGGGCACATCAGAAAAGTGAGCCCACTTTCAGTGCACACTCCCTTGGGGATGCTGGAACAGAGGAAGTACAGGGGCCTGTGAATAGAAAAAGTTTGAAAACTGATGGGTATGGCAACCTCCCCTGGCAAGATAGCAGGAGAGTGTCTTCCCTTCTAGAACATGAATATTCAGAGCTTTGGTGCTAGGTGATCTCTGTTCGCTCTCTCTGTTCTTTGTCACAAGGGTAGAAAGAAATGTTCCAATAAATGTTTGCAGGTTGCTCTAGGGCTGCAAAGTGCTTTACAATGGAAGCCTTAACCCTGCTTACATGTAGGGCAACTGAGGCAAAGGAGGTAACAGGAGTGATGTAGCATCACCAGTTGTCTGGTGAGAGAAGAGCTTTTGTACTCCACAACACTCTCTATGCATAAGGCTGTGCTGCCTCTGCACCTAGCACAGTCTAGCCATAGAGTTAAGAAGCTGTAAGTCCATAATGCCCTCATAGCCAAAAGAAGTCTCTGTAGCAGAAAGATCCTTTCCCAGAGCCAACTAAACAAAATTATCCATTGCTGAAGCCACCTTTTCACTTCTAAGTCTTAGTACTGTGTGAACTGGAGGTGCCTGGTCCCTTACACAGACATACTATATAGTTAGGATCCATGGGGCTTTCATTCTGCAAAAGCCCTGTGTTTCAGAAGGAGGAAACCTACCATAGTCTTTCTATCTTGAAGCATGTAAGTAAATAATTCTCACTGTAATTTTTTTCCCTTCTATTTGTCCTAATCCATCTCACACAGAATCCTTTAGGACTCTATGCCCTTCAGAACAACAACCCCAGTCTCTCTTGGTACCGTCAGGCCATTTGAACTACTTAGTACATTGTTCTTTTCTTAACTGGAGGCAGCATCCTCTTATTTTTTTAACACTGTAGTCAGAGATAAAACTGAAAGCCCAGGGACTAACACTAAACTAAATGGATGCCAGCATTGAAATAACCAATGAGCATATCATCAATAACTTAACAACAGATCGATATGATGATCATTAAATATACTGATTCCTGTAGCCACTTAACAATTTGTTCTGCAGATTTTCTTGCTGAGAACAGTCTCAGGTAATAACAGTGGCCATCTCACTGCAGTTAATATAACAGTCATTCAATATATAGCGTAAGTCATATAGTGATGCATGTCTTTTGAATACACTGATTTATGCCAGCATAAAGGAAAACAAACCCAACTTCTACTCTTAGAGAAAAATCTCCCCAACAATAAAGACTAAAAATTAGTTCAAAACCTGCAAACGCTTTCCTAATACAGTACCCAGAAAGACTCCAAAAAATACTGGTTCAAACTTACCTTTAGTTTCCAGCCAACCTCCCCAAAGACAAGTTTTGATCTGTTTCTGGAGGAGACCAATTTATAGCTCCTGTGGACCAATTGCTGCGATGGGAATGCTTTGCCTCATACTGGGAGTTTGCCATTTCCTGCTCTCCCTCGTGCAGAAGGATGTGACACACTGGAAAGTGACCTGAGGGACAGCGAGCACACATCATGTTCAGGAAACGATCCCTGCAAATGAACATTGTGTGTTCGCTTTTCCTGAAGTGTAGGGGGAAAAAAAATTAAAAAAATCTCAGCCTATTCCTGGCGCTGAGCTAGTGCAGTCATTCCCTCCAGGGAACTGTTGCCTTTCCTTCCCCTGAAATAGCAACTGACTTTACTCTGTGCTGGAGCCGTTAATTGCTTGATGACTGAAGTTTCCCCTCACCACACATCTAGAGCCAGGGGAGCATCAACCGGCCAGCTACTTCATTCAAGGCCGGTGTACTTTTAAAATCCCAACTCTTTGGGACCATTGTGTGTGTGTGACTGGCTGGAGCACAGCAACGCTGTGTGAGAGCTGGAGCAGTGCTCCACTCCATAAAAGGGAAGCAGCTCCACAGCAAGATGATTGCTCTGAATTCCCATCTCTTCTCCTTCTGAGTAGATAAAACTGTGCAGCATCTTCCAAAATGAGTGATGTCCCTGTGTTTTTGCTCTGTTTCTTAACCATGGGCACTGTGATGGTTGAGGAACTACCATGTTGTTTTCCTAAGGTGCCTGCCCATCAATCAATGATCAGAAAGAAAGGGTCATGGGGATCCCCTCTTTTGCTGCCCACTGTTGCCTGGCAGTTGTGGCCACATACAGATGTGGCCACAAGGAGGAATTTATAAAGGAGGAACAGCCTATATGTTTGAGGAGGAACAGCCTATGTGATACTCCTGGCTCTGCCTTTCACACTGAGCCAGGGTCAGCTTTAATCAAAGACAGATTCTTTGGATGGGTTCAGGGAAAACGGATTTTTTGGTGGCACTAAGTGGTGGAGCCTACCTTAGACCAAAGTGGCATGTATCCTTATTGATACTGGGCCTGTGGTGCCAGAGGCACCTGTTTTGAGCAGTTGTGCTTGAAGATGGGACATCTACTTTCTTGCTTGGTGGACTCTTACTCCTCAAGACTGTTTGTTGACAGGGAACCACTGATTGTGCTCTAGTGTCCCCCTGGCCTGGCTAACATGAAAGCTACCTAGCTGTCACTGAGTGGCAAGGCTTTACTGTTGAATGTGTGAGATGCATAGCCATGCAATTGCTGGAGCTGACCTTAGGAAGGGACAAGGGCTGAGAGGCAGCAGGCAGGGAGAGAAGAAGGCTGGGATTATTAATTTTAATGGCAGCTTGGTTTTAGATCATCTTTAAATGACTGTGAAACAGTATGTCAAGTGTTTTGTCAGGGCTGGACCTGCATAAGATGAGACATGAACAAATAAATAAATAGCATTGAAGAGCTACTTCAACCTGTCACAGACCTGAAAAGAAGAAAACATTATTTTTAAGATGCTTAAATCTTGGTCTGTTACACTTCGTACATATTGCACGTTAACAGGAAGGTGAGTTTTGACAATGAAGGAAACTGTGCTTTAGCCCTTCCCTTTGTTTTAGCAGACGTGCTTGAACTGGAGCCCATCTGCCTTGGCAAAAGTTTACAGTTGATAGACACAAGAGTTCTTTAACACATTCCCAAATAGAATAGGCTCTTTTTATGTATCTGCATTAGGACTTATGCCAGCAGAGGTGTCCTTGTTAGGACAGTGAGTTTTGGTAAAAATGAAATAACGAAGGAAAAAAGATTAATGGTCTAGAATGAGCCTGAGAAGATGACATAGTTTTGGTTGCCTTTGTTCCTTTTCCAGTGCTCTTCTTTCAATATTCTCAGCTGAAAAATGTTAGCTAAAACCCCTGTGATGCTCAGTTCATGGGTGAGGACATGATTAGAGTGCAGAAGAGACAATTCATTTTTTTTTTATAGTATTTCCTCACGGAGTTTCCTATATACTGAAAGACCTGCACTTTAAACAAGACGAGAGGTCTCAGACTAGGATGGTTTCTTACAAGGGTCATCCCTGGGTTCCTTCACCATCTAAAGAAAATGTTTCCTCATAATCCACCCCAATAATGAGATGCATATCCAGAAAGTCAGGACTTCCCATGAGGAGTTACAGATGTCAACTTGATTTTTAAAAAGAAATGTGTATTAGAATAAGAAATATTATTTCCTAGGGAGTTGCCCTGCATCAGCATGCTGGGGTCAGGTTTTGTCCCTGCTGACGTTCTCACAAGCATCCCTTTGGTGAGAGTGCTGGTGTTCTCTCCCACCGATAACTTCAGAAACCCCCTCTAGCCAAGGTGAGCAGGTAGGAATGGGAGGAGGACGAGAGAGGAGCAGCTTCTCTGAGCACCTCCCAAGGACTGAAAGGCTTTCAGTGCCATTAGAGGGTCTGCACAGATGTCACCAAGTCGGTCCCAGTGGCCTGCTTGCAGTGAATCTTAGCTACCAGGGATGTCAAGACTTGTGAGGTAGGTGTGACCTTCCCTGGGCAGTCCTGCAAGCCAGTGGCGGCCTCGCCACCCTGCCTGCTGTATATGTTCACCCAACCCCTCTGCTGATGCAGTCTCCTCATTCTTGGCCTACAAAGTATTTGGGCTTGAGGGTGGAAGGGGCACAGCAAGTGTTTCACAGCTACCCCAGCCAAAAATGGTCCCTCTGCTCCACCCTTTCCCATCTAGCCACATCCTTTTGAAACGGGCAGAAGCCAGACCCATGCAAAACCTGCCCTGAAGGCATTTTGTGGGAGCAGATGACCAACAAGGGGAAGGAAGGATGTTTTATTGCCTCAGCTCTCTTCCTTCCAGTGGATTTTGGCAGAAAGGACTGGTCTTTCTGCTCTTGCTCTCTTCCAGCAGAAGTGTTTACTCTGAAGCTGCTCAGAGCTACTGCAACGTAACATTTGAATGTAAATTTGTAACATTTGAAGCTGGAGTTTCAAAGGTACACTTCCTTTATTAATATTGTCTTGATCAAATAATTGAGTAAATTTGATCAAATTTACATTCGAATACCGTCTTTTTAACAGAGAATTTCTGTCATGCTTGGTACTTTCAACCTTAACTGCTGGATCCTGGGCTAAAAGTTGTTTTGTTTTGTTTTGTTTTGTTTTGTTTTTCCTTTTCTTTATCCTGTGGTCAACAATCAATGACAATCTTCACAGCAAGGCATTTATTCAGATTCAGTGGGAACATGAATAGGCCAAAACTAAAACAAATAAAGCAAATTAGATCAAAAGGGCTGCACTGGCTTTTAGTAACCTTACCAGTAGATCCAAATTAATTTTCTGAAAGCATTCCAGACTGAGACAGGCTGCTCTGGGCTCTGGTCACCGGTGTGTGTGGGGCTTCAGCTGGGTTTGCAGAAAGCTAGGAAGAGCAGAGCAGGGTGGGGGGAACAGGACAGCTTGTGGAATGGAAACACCTCTTGTTATTTCCAATTATGTAGGATATTAGCCAAGTGCATTGACTGTGCCTGTGCTTGCTTTGTGAGCAGGCATTCATGTAACAAAAATACCATCATAAATTGCCTTGTCAAAACACTGCCAACAGTGTTTGCAGAGACCAAGTCTTTATTTGGACATGGAGAGTGAATTTCTGCAATGGACTTAAACAAACCAGTTTATACTGCCATTTGACACCTTTAATTATATGTTTCAGTGCAGGCTGTATGGCATAAGGCTTGTTCTCTGACGCACAAAAAAGCAACTCCCCACTTAGCCTGTGTGCCTCCAGCCTTGCCTGTGGAACAGCTGACGTGACTGAATGTGGTCATATGTGGGTTCTGCTGAGACTCGTGCTGCTGGAGGACTTTTCTCTCTTCAGTGTCTCAGCAGTGGCAGCAGCAGCACCACAATGAGCAATCTGAGTACCTGTACCCTCAAGCACTGTAGAGAACAGAGAATCTTTACCGTGTTTCCAGAACTGCAAATAAACCTAAGAGCTTGGTGAAAAGTAGAAATTAGGTAGCCTAGTTTCTTGTGGCTCTTTTCCTGTGGATTTCTTGATGGCTGAGCTGATGTTGCAATATTTCTCTTGAAGGAAACAAGTCTGGATTCTTCTCATCTACAAAACTACTTATTTTCATGAAACTCGCAAGAAGTCAGTGTCTTTAAAACCTTGACTACTTTGTCAAATTCTGGATGAGGTTGCCCTGGAAGCTGAAAAGCTACTGGTTGACAAAACTGCCAACAGCCCCGTTCCATAGCCCTCATTTCTGTAGGGAGTCAGGATAGAATAAATCCCTGTGTCCTGCATCCGAAGCACAAAACACAGATGTCCCTGGTTTCTTATTTCCCTTTGCTGGCGTGAATCTTGCCATGCTTAGCCGGTCTTTGGTTTCATGTACTGCTCTGTGTACTTTCCCCTTCCAGGGTGATGTCTGTGGCCTCCAGTGCAGGAGGAGTTGCTGGTGTGGGAGCCTTCGGGGGTGTTCCTGTACCACATGCTGGCGGGTCTGGGCAGTGCCCCCAGGACCACAGTTTGAATGGGAAAGAAAAGCAGCTCAGCTGGGAAGCATGACACCAGCAGCATGTCTTTACCAAGAAAACTAATGGGCTGGGAAGACTCAGGTGTAAATCCCCAAAACCAGTTTTGGGAGCCTTGGGGTAACAGACTACTGGGTAGATGTAGCCTTTATTAGCTAGGAAATGAGAGTGTCTGTGTTTCCATTAGGCAACGCAGGATAGAGCTTTTACCTGGATCCCCTATTTGCTTCCTGCCAGTAGCAGACTGCTGTGTGGATTAGTGATCTCTAACACTCTCACTACCTCTTTCTCCTCAATTCTTGCTCTCAGTTCCTCTGATATGGCCTTTGGTGAGGTAACAAGTCTCAGGTTTGAGGGTACCTAGAAAAGTTAAAATCAGAGGCTTGAGGGCATCAAACAACAACTTACTAATCAGTCATGGAGGAGGGAAGGGCTAGGAAAACACATTTGTCAGGAAGATTGGATTTGGAATCATTCTGTATTTGCACAATGAAAAGTTCCTGA